TTATCGTTTATCAGATCCTGCCTCCTCCTCCTCTCTGTCTCGTCCCTAATTTCTCTTATCATTATCGTATTATTCAAATCCTCCATGTCCATCCTCCTAGCATTCTCTCCCTAATTCCTTCTGTCTTCTTGATTAATAATTTATTTTTCTACAATGATCCTAACTGTTTTCGATCGCTATACAAGGTTCTTGAAAAATTTTCAATCTTTTTTTTTTGTTAAATCTATTGTACACAGAAGGTTTATTTTTTATATAATCAGGGGATTTTTAAAAAAGGGATTTTGCGCGTTTTACTTGTCAATCAGGTACATCGATGGAGAAAGAATAAAGGTAATAATAAAAAAGGAGTAGTTGGCGAATAAGAAGGGGGGAAATAAATAAAAGGGGTGATAAGGGCTTTACGGCGCGTGTGTCCAATTTTTTTTTGGTTGGGATTTGGGTCGAGCTTAAGATACCAAAAAAAAACAGGAGTTCTTTCAATATTTAAGAGCGGAAAATGTGGGGGGACGACAAAGGAATAAAGGAAAATTGAAGTAGAAATTTTGTCAGAGGAAGCTTAAGTAGTAAAGAAAACAAATATATATATAGTATATACGAATAATAAATGACAAAATCTTCCGTTCATTACCTTTCACGTCACAGTGACCTTTTGTTTTACTAACGAAGTTTGTATTTTGTCGAAAGAAAATATTTTACCATAGTGGTCATGTTAGCTGCCCTTGTCCAATGGAGGGTCTTGTCTCTCTCTCTCTCTCTCTTTCTTTCTCTCTCTGTCTCTCTGTCTCTCTTTCTTTCTCTCTGTCTCTCTCTTTCTTCTTTTATCTCTGTCTCTCTCTTTCTTCCTTTATCTCTGTCTCTCTCTCTCTCTCAATTCATTTCTTTTCTCTCTCTCTCTCTCTCTCTCTGTACCTTATTCTCTCTCTCTCTTTCTTTCTCTCTGTCTCTCTCTCTCTCTCAAATTCATTTTCTTTTTTTTTTCTCTCTCCTCTCTGTCTGTTTCTCATTCTCTCTTTCTCTCTCTTTCTTATATTCACTTTCTTTTTTTTTTCTCTCTTCTCTCTCTCTCTCTCTCTCTCTCTCTCTCTCTCATTCCCTCTCTCTTTCTTATATTCACTTTTTCTCTTTTTCTCTCTTCTCTCTCTCTCTCTCTCTTCTCTCTCTCTCTCTCCCTCTCTTTCTCCTCTCTTTCTCTCTCTCTCTCAAAAGACAAGACATACTCTCTCATTGGTCAAATTTGAAAAAAAAAAATAAAAATAAAATAAAAATAAATAAATAAATAAACAGCACACATAAATAATATAATTTATTTTAAAAATCATTTCCCCTAATTTATCATTATTATAGGTTATTTTCCCTTGAGCTTATTGATATTACGGAAGCTAACAATTTTTTTGTGAAAAAAAAAAAAATTATTGATTAAAAATTTACAGAAATCATAATAAAAATAAAATAAAAATCATTAATCTTAATAAAAATCATAATAAATATAATAATCTTAATAAAAAATCATAATAAATATAATAATCGTATAAAAATAATAATCAAATAATAATCTTAATATAAAATCATAATAGAAAATAATCTTAATAATGATCATAATAAAAATAATATCAATAGATGCTAAAACGTTGATATAAATCAACGAATAAGACAAAAATGCAGAATAAAAATGCATGCTTTATTAGTACCAAATAATTTCTCAAAGAAAATGGGACGTTTTCACTGACTAAAGAAAACGAAACTCAGAAGAAAAACGGAGTATTGCCTCAAAGAAAATGGAAACTCAAAAGAAACGGAGTATTGCCTCAAAGAAAATGGAAATCAATAGAAAACTGGGTATTGCCTCAAAGAAAATGGAAAATAAAGAGAAAACGGAGTACTACCCCTAAGAAAATGGAAAATAAAAGAAAACGGAGTATTACCCTCAAAGAAAAACGGAAAATAAAAGAAACGGAGTATTGCCTCAAAGAAAAACGGAGACTAAAGAAAACGGAGCACTGCCTCAAAGAAAACGGAGTATTGCCTTTACAGAAAACGGGGAAAATAAAATCACCAGTAACTCATATAAATGTAAGTAATCGAAGAAAATGAATAAATATTTAAAAATCGTCTACAAAAGTAGTAAAAAATACAAAATGTTACTTAAATCTAAGTATCAAAAAACATTAGTTTGTTAAAATAAATGCATTTTATGAGAATACAAAATGAGGTAAAAAGAGACGAGATGAATGAAAGGAAGAGACAAAGTAGAAAGAGAAAAGAGGAAGAGGGGGAGAGAAGGAAGAAAGAAGACAAAAGAAGATAAAAAGAGGAAGAGGGGGAGAGAAGGAAAGAAAGAAGACAAAAGAAGATAAAAAGAGGGAGAAAGAGAAGGAAGAAAAATGAGAGAGAAAAGACAACGAAAGAAGATAAAAAGAGGAAGAGAGGGAGAAAGAGAAAGAGAAAACACAAGAGAAAAAAAGTCGAAAGAAGGAGAAAGAGAGAATAGAGGAAGAAAGAGAGAAAAACGAGAAAAAAGAAGACAAAAGAAGGAAAAAGAGAGAAAAGATGAAGAGAGAAGAGAAGGAAGAAAGAAGGGAAGGAAAACAAGAGAAAAGAAGACGAAAGAGAGAAAAAGGAAAGGAGAGAGGAATAGAGCAAAGACAAAAGGAAGAAGAGAAGGGAAAAAGAGAGAAAGCAAAAGAAAAGGGAAAGAGACGTAGAAAAATAAGGAAGAAGAAAGAGATAAGAGAGAGAGAGAGAGAGAGAGAGAGAAACAAAATGATAAAAACAAGAAATAAATTAAAGAAAAGAAAGGAAAGAAAGAGAAAAAGAAAGAAAACAGATGATAAATGACATATATATAAAAAAGTAGAAAAAAAAAAAAATACTCTACATCTATTTACAATTTTAAGTAAATACAGTTCTTAAAAAAATGACTAATTTATTAAATTAACATTAATTAAGTTATAAAAGGATCATTCCCCCCCTTGGTTTCAATAAAAAAAATAAATAAATAAATAAAAAAAAATTAATAATAATTACGCACATGGGAATGAAAAATGCACATGGAGAACGCACATGGGTCCTTAAACATACATGAGTCACTATATACATGCACTTGAGTCCATTTTTACGCGCACATGAGTCCCTGTGTGTACATGTGAGTATGTGTACATGACATTCCTCGTACATGTACGTCCTTTACGCATACAGTACACATCTTATATGTGTACATGACACTTTGTGTGCGTACGTGAGTTGCTGTACGCACATGCCACTGTCTAGGCGTGCGTACATGGTGTATACGCACATGCCACTGTCCAGGCACGCGTACATGGTGTATACGCACACAATCCCTTAAATGCACATATGTACACATGCATGCGTACATACACTAATGAAAACACTCAATTTTTTTTTTCTTTTTCGTTTTTGTAAAAAATATTAATCGTTAATTAATTAAAAAACGCAATTATTTCTAAGTAAAAAAGATGTTTGTTTTTTTTTTTAATCTAATATTTTTCTTTTCTTTTCAATGTTCAGTTTCTTTTCCTTTTTTTTTTTCTTTTAATTAAATGCATTAAAATCAAATCGCAAATTTTTTTTTCTACAAAAAATAAAAAAAATAAAAAAAAAATTATAGAAACGCTTAATGATTTTCTTTTTTATTTTATTTTCTTTTCCATTATTTCTTTTCCTCATTTTCTCTATTTCCATATTTATCATTGTTTCCTATTTCCACTTCTGTTCTCTCTTTCCTTTTACTCTTAATTACTCTTTATTCTATTTTCTCTCTTCTTCCCTCATTCTCTACACTTTTTATTCTCTTTTCTCTCTTCTTCCCTCATTCTCTACACTTTTTATTCTCTTTTCTCTCTTCTTCCCTCATTCTCTACACTTTTTATCCTATTTTCTCTCTTCTTCCCTCATTCTCTACACTTTTTATCCTATTTTCTCTCTTCTTCCCTCACTCTCTACACTTTTTATTCTCTTTTCTCTCTTCTTCCCTCATTCTCTACACTTTTTATTCTCTTTTCTCTTTTTCTCTCTTCTTCTAGACACTTTTTATTCTCTTTTCTTCTAGACACTCTTTATTATCTTTTCTCTCTTTATTCTATTTTCTTCTAGACACTCTCTTTATTCCCTCTTTCTCTATACACGCTTTATTCAATTTTCTTCTTGACACTCTCTTTATTCCCTCTTTCTCTATACACTCTTTATTCAATTTTCTTCTAGACACTTTTTATCCTGTTTTCTCTCTAAACACTCCCTTTATTCATTCTTCCTCTCCTCTTATTCTCATTTTCGCTTCCCACTTTTGGCAAAAAAAAAAAACAAAAACAAAAAAAAACAAATAAAAAACAAAAAACAAAAAAAAAAAAAAAAAAAAGAGAAAAAGAAATATTAAAAGAAAAAAAAAAAAAAATTATAAAAAAAAAATTATATACGTTTGACTAGAGCTCATCTGGGATCTTTTTGACCCGAAAGCAAGATTTGCTTTATTTCTCTCTCTCTCTCTCTCTCTTCCCTTTTCTTTCTTTCTTTCTTCCTTTTCTTCTTCATTTATTTCTTTTCTTCTTCATTTCTTTTTCTTCTTTCTTTCTCTCTCTCTCTCTCTTCCCTTTTCTTTTCTTCTTTCTTCCTTTTCTTCTTCATTTCTTTCTTTTCTTCTTTCTTTCTCTCTTCCCTTTCTTCTTTCTCTCTCTCTCTCTTCCCTTTTCTTCTTTCTTTCTTCCTTTTCTTCTTCATTTCTTTCTTTTCTTCTTTCTTTCTCTCTTCCCTTTCTTCTTTCTCTCTCTCTCTCTTCCCTTTTCTTCTTTCTTTCTTCCTTTTCTTCTTCATTTCTTTCTTTTCTTCTTTCTTTCTTTCTCTCTTTCCCTTTCTTCTTTCTCTCTCTCTTTCCTTTTCTTCTTTCTTTCTTCCTTTTCTTCATTTCTTTTTCTTCTTTCTTTCTCTCTCTCTTCCCTTTCTTCTTTCTCTCTCTCTCTCTCTTCCCTTTTCTTCTTTCTTCCTTTTCTTCTTCATTTCTTTCTTTTCTTCTTTCTTTCTCTCTCTCTTTCCTTTCTTCTTTCTCTCTCTTCCTTTTCTTCTCTGTCTCTATCTCTCCTTCCGGAAGCAAGATCTGCTCTTTTTTTTTTTCTCTCTCTCTCTTCCTTTTCTTCTCTCTCTCTATGTCCCTCCTTTATTCTCCTTATCTCTCTCTCTTTTTCCTTCTCCTCGCAATTCTCTTCTCTTTCTCTCTCTCTCTCTCTCTTTCTCCTTTTGGTAATTTTATTTCTCTCTCTCTCTTCCTTTTTTTCTTTCTTTCTTTCTTTTTCTCTACGTCCCTCCTTTACTCTCCTTTCTCTCTCTCTCTCTCCCCCCCTATATAAAAATAAATAAATAAATAAATAAAATAAAACAAATAATAAATAAAAAAAAAAAAAAAAAAAAACTCTCCTTTTGGCATAAACGTTCGGGAGAGTTTAAAAAAAAAAAAAAAAAAAAAAAAAAGTATATTCGTCATAGTCACAGCCTCGGCGTGGCAGTGTTTGAAAGGGGGGGGGGGGAGGGGGGGGTGTTCGGCCTCAATGTGGCAGTGTTTGAGGCAGGAGAGGGGGAGGGGGGGGAGGGGGGGGGAGGGGGTTGTTCAGAGTGCCGTTCAGCCCCAGAGAAGGGAATCGTTTGTTGGTTTTCGGTGTCGTGGTTGGCACGGGACTCGAAGCTTATGCTCCTCTCTCTCTCTTCTTTTCCTTCTTCTTATCCTCCTCCCTTCCCTTCTTTTCCTTCTTCTTACTCTATTCTTTTCCTTCTCTTATTCTCCTCCTTTCTCTCTCTTTCTCTTCTTTTATTCTCCTCCATCTTCTTCCTAGCAATTAAACTGATTAGCCGTAATAGCCGAGAGATCTTTCATCAGTCCCTCCAGATTTGCATTTCCTCCTTTCTCTCTTTCTCTCTTCTTTTCCTTCTCTTATCCTCTTCCTTTCTCTTTCTCTCTTCTTATTCTTCTCCTCTATCTCAATTCTTTCTTTCTTATCCTCCTCCTTTCTCTTCTTTTCCTTCTTTTCTCACTCTTCTTTTCCTTTCCTCCTCGGTCCCTCTCTCTGTCTGTCTCTCTTCTTTCTCTTCTTTTATTCTCCTTCTTCTTCTTCCTTCTTTATTCTCCTTCTTTTCCTATTCCTCCTTCCTAGCAATTAAACTGATTAGCCGTAATAGCCGAGAGATCTTTCATCAGTCCCTCAAGATTTGCCATTTCCTGCGAGAGTTCTTCCGTCGAGTAGCCGTGGAGCAGGGCCTCGCTGGCTTCCTGGAACGATGGAAAAGACGAGTTGGAATCGTAATGGGAATGGACGAAAATAGTGATGATAATGATAATAATAATGATGAGGACGATAAAAAATAATACAGATGATGATGATGATAAGGGAGTGGAAATGACGAAAAACTGTAATAATGGCTTCCTGGAACGACGGAAAAGACGAGTTGGAATCGTAATGGGAATGGCGGGAATGGGGGGGGGGGGGGGGGTTAGAATCGGTGGAAATGGGAATGGACGACAATAGTGATGATGACGATGAAGATGATAATGATGATGATGATGATGATAAGGGAATGGAAATGACGAAAAACTGTAATAATGGCTTCCTGGAACGACGGAAAAGACGAGTTGGAATCGTCATGGGAATGGCAGGAATGGGGGGGGGGGTTAGAATCAGTGGAAATGGGAATGGACGACAATAGTGATGATGATAATAATGATGATGACGATAAAAAATAATACAGATGATGATGATGATAAGGGAATGGAAATGATGAAAAACTGTAATAATGGCTTCCTGGAATGCCGTAAAAAAAAAAAAAAAAAGGAATTGGCATCATAATAATAATTAATAATTTAGTTTGATTCCATTTGTTACAATGGATACTCTTGGTCTGACACGCTGTCTGTTTTACTTTGCTTCTAAATCATCCCGTGTGCGCAAGGAAACCTCACCTCATGTTCCGGCAGGGCGTCGACGCGGATGGGGGCCTCCCCCCCCTCCTCCCGTGCCCGGGCCCCACCGCGAGCCGCCTCCCGAGCCCGAGGGGGGGTGGGACGAGGGGGGGTTTCTTGAAGGGGGACGTCACGCCGCTGCCTGGGGGTCGCATGCCCACTGTAGAGGGGGGGGGAAAGGGGAAGAGAAGGGAGGGGGGAGGGGGAAGAGAAGGGAGGGGGGGAGGAGGGAAAGGGAGGGGAGAGAGAGAGAGGGAGGGGGAAGAGAGGAAGGGGGAGGAAGGGAAGGGAGGAGAGACGGGAGGAAGGGGAGGGAGGGAAGGGGAAGAGAGGGGGAAGAGAAAGGGGGAAGAGAGGGGAGAGGGGCGAGGGGGAGAAAGGGAGAAAGGGGAGAGAGAGAGAGAGAAAGGAGAGGAAAGTGGGGAGAAAGCGGAAGAGGGGAGGGAGGGAGAAAGGGGGGAGGAGAAAGGAGGGAGAAGAAAGGGAGGGAATAGGTGAAGGGAGAAAAGGGGGAAGGGAGGGGAAGAGAAAGAAAATTATTATTA